AATTCGCTTAATCATCCAATATTGTTATTTAAACCTGTTGTTCTTAAAAAAAATTCACGAACGTTGCTTACTTTCGTTTGGCTAAAAATAAAAAATTAAATTTAGCTTGATTACTGCCGATTTTGTTGCTATTACTGTTCTCATCACGATGGGTGCTGTTTTGGGGAAGCTTACTCCGGTGCAGTATATGGTGATGTCCGCTATCGAAGTACCAATTGCAGTTGCTGTTGAACATTTGATCTTACGTTACCTTAAGGTTCTATTTCATCAAATTAGATGAGCAAATAAATAGTCTCGATAAATATTTCAGCTCAGAATTTCTGTTCTCTTTCAAATCTTACTTTTCTTTATTTTGTGAAAATTAAAAACAGCCGAATAAATAGGTGATCGACATTGGCCGTTCTATGGTGATCCATTGCTTTGGGGCATATTTTGGCTTAGGTGTAGCGAAAATGATCAACAAGAAGGAAATGATTACGCATCAGCATGAGGGGACCAGCTATAATTCCAATATCTTTACTATGATTGGTTTGTTTTTGTGTTTGTTTGAAATAAAAATGGATGATGATTACATTAAATTTGTGATATATTCGAAAGCAGAAAGTAAGAACGAACTAAAACTAGATTAATGCTATCATTAAATTAACTATGTTATCATTAAACTAAACTAATGCTACTAGACTATGCTGTCATTGAACTATCATTCAATTAGACTGTGCTATCATTGAACTAGACTAGTGCTATCGCTCAACTAGACTATACTGTCATTAAACTAGACTATGAAATCATTAATTTATAATTTTGCTTCTATTTCTTTTTTTCTTCAGGTACCTTATTTCTATGGGCATTTTTCCCATCATTCAATTCTGCTCTGGCAATTCCCGAGGATTCTCGGCATCGTGCTATCCTGAACACCTATTTAGCGCTTTGTTCCTCCACTATTTGTACTTTTCTAGCCAGTCAACTACTTGATCACGAGCATAAGGTTATCTGATAGAATAATCAAATTTGTTATAACTTTCTTTTTCCAAAATATTTACAGTTAGAGCTTGATTTGATACTGGTTTACATTATCCCTATAAAATCTTCCAGTACCGCTTCTCGATGGCACATGTGTCAAACTCGGTTCTTGCTGGTGGTGTCGCTATTGGTACTGTTGCAAACATCATATTGGAGCCATTTTATGCTCTTCTGATTGGCTGTTTGGGCGCTTTCGTTTCGGTTCTTGGAAACAATTATATCAGGGTTTGTTTCTGTATCAGAATAATTGAATATGAGGAGGACTAGGACTGTTCATGAAGTTATTTCATATATCATGGGAAAAATAATCCTACATCTTATGCGATTTTAGCCATTTGGAGTTCGAGTCTTCGGACTTCATGATACACGTGGTGTTGGATCGATTCACGGATTGCCCGGTAATAGTTAATTTTGATTAAGTTTCTCTTTTTAAATTTTTTTATAAAATATTATTTGGAATTCATATTTATATGAAGTAAATTTGGAGTGGTGTAACTAAGCGTTTTGAAGGAAGTAGTTAAATAATGATTAGGGAATCCATTTCAGGCATTTTGGCAGGTATTCTCGGTTTCATTTTTACGACTGTGTATGAGCCGACTCGTTACGGAACTGGGTTATTTCCTTATTGTTATCTTTGCTATTTTTGCTTTATATTGTTAATTATATATAAATTATTATTCACGTATTAGTCGTTAATTTAATATTTAAGTGCCGGACGCATTATTTGATGAAAAAAGTGATAAACAAGAAAAAGGGTATGAGTAGATTTTTAAGTGTAAATGGTTATGATTGAATGTTTATGAAATGTTTCGATAGCAATTTACATAATTGCAGCAACGGAACTCACATCTACCCAGCAATGAACAAGAACGATGAAGGTCGTGAGATATTTGTACAAGCTGGTTATCAGCTTGCGGCGCTTGCCATTGTCTTGCTTGTTTCGATCATTGGAGGAGCTATCACCGGTAAATTCTTTTTTTGATATTTCAAACTGTCATACAGGAATTATGGGTTCTTTTTTAGGACTCATCTTGAGACTCAACTGCTTCAACCGCATTCATGATAAGGAATATTATTCCGATGGAGAATTCATCGAACCACCGGAGGATTACGATTTCACCACTAGGGTAAAGCTTCTTATCAGTTTCGCTACATGATCTCAGTCATTCAAATTATTGCCTCTAAAAATCGCTCAAATGGATATACTGTATTTGATTAAGATCCATAAATAATAGCTAATGATGTAAATCCTTGATAATTTTTTTTATAAAAAGAAATCCTTTGCAGATTATCTCAAAAATCGACCACATTGAATTAACTGAGCATACGGCACTTAATAAGGAATCGTCGTCTTCTGTTGGACCAAGCAGTCCTTGAGAAGAATTCATTCACAATTAATGTGATCCTTAATGCTTCATTATGACCTCTGCAATATTCTGTTCACTTTAACAATCAAACAATAATTTACAGAAAAAATGGTTTACTATTTAAATTTTAGCTTTAATTCAGAATGTGCAACATTCGCGTTCATACATTTCTTTCTAGATCAAATTTTTTTGAAATATTTTCAAACTTAATTCAATATTCCAGAAGGTTTCGGCTTTCACGAAATTTCGAAAATATTACCATAGTTGGCTATACATTTAGTGCTAAAAGTTTCTAATAACATTGAAATTCTGTGCATTCGATCTTTGTTAATAAGGTAAATAATTTTGCTTTGAATTCAGTCTTTTCGAACCTAATTGACTTTCTCTTTACTATAATTCAGTAAGAAATTACAGTTTAAAATCTTTAGTTCTCTTAAATTTGAAAAATGCTTATCTAGTTTCTCGGATAGGTTAGCAGTCCGGGACAACTGATTGAGTTTTCTGATTAACTCTCCATAAATACCAAAAAGGAAGCTCCATTATAGGATCACGGGATAATTATGTATAGTTTATCAAACTTCAGTAAAAAATTTTATTTGCTACATTTTTGCTGATCTAGAATCACTTCCATTGAATGATACATATTTCCAAAGTACGTCCGAGTTACATTACAATTTACCTGAGCTGTAAAAGGTTTTTCAGCTGAGTTTTTTCAGCTCTAAGAGGAGAAGGAAAAGTGTTTTGAAGTTAAGTTTTAATTATTTGCTGAGATACTTCATCATAGAAGTCAAAATAACTCTGTGAAAAAACGTTTCCATCTTAATTATTGTTTTTTTGTTGAAGGCACTGCAGATTTATTGGCTATGTTAATGTGCTCATTTCATACCTCTTTTCTTCATCGTTTTCATTGAAAAAAATTACTTCATGAACTGCTTCATTTACTGTTTTGGCGAAGTGATGATAATGAAATGCTTATTGCTAGAGACAACCGACAATCTACCACTATTCATATCTCAATTAATAAACCCTTCGAAATATCGAGAGAGAGAGAGAGATTCCTTCGGAAGGATTTAATACTGGCTGCTCAACAACCATTTATTATCTATTCCCACTATTCTTTAAAACTATATTTGAATTTGGTTGAATCCTAATCAGATTTAAAACTTGATGGCTTCTCATGCTTTCACCATTTCGGTAAACAATCGCAATAAATGGAGCAGTTTAGAAAGTTCTGAATTGTGTCGATCTAACATCTTTTTTATTACAGTTAAGTAACTATAGCCATCTTATTGAGAAAGAAGAAATATTGCTTTTATACCATCTCCATGGTCCTTTTCTGCGAACAATTTGTGACGTGCTCTGATACTCCAGAATTTGAATTATCATTTAAGAAAAGCAAGATTCTTCAGGCAAATTTATAACACAGTAAATAAAGTGTTGAATTTGGCAACGTCAACAGTGTGACTTTTGTGTCCGCTGAAAAGTATCCTCTTTTCAATAGAGTTACCTCAGTAAACCCTTGAAAGATCTCTATGACGTCCTCATAGAAATATAACTCCTTCTTCGGTTCTAAATTGACCGAGGTACGGTAACACGACAGCTCGATTCTATTAATCTTATCCAACAACCAATTTCACGGCTAGATTTTGCAGTTACTTATCGACGGTTCTCAGGAAAATATGAATGAATATGAACTGTGCACTAGTTCTGAATGATTTACTTGTCTCTAACAATGTTTTTTGCTCAGGTAAATGAAGGCAAAAAGTATTTTCTGTTTCATAATAACGTAAATGTGCATGGATTAAATACATCAGATGTCTCGGAAGAGAGTATGACAAAGTGGTAGAGAATAATAGTAATAATAAGATGCTAATCAATCCAACATGTAGAACAATTAGGAAGGAATGATCTTGGCTTGTAAAAGGTGGAAGCAAACAGCAAAGGGGAAGTAATCTGTGAAAGAAATATAGGCGCAGGAAGAAAGCACTGAAGATTTTGGCGTGACATAAGTAAAGTAATAGCCACAGAATTTAAACGTAAGTTTAAATTGTTCTAAACGTAAACAAATAAGAAAAAGATGATCGATGAACAAGTATTGTCACGGTCTGGTTATTCTCTTAAGAAGAAATAAGATAGAAACACAGAAAAGGTAAAATGAACTTGTCTGTGGTGATAGAAGAAGAATAGCGCATATCTCCTAAAAGCGGTTATTATTTATGGAGATATGGAGTAGTCAGAAAAAATTTGCAGTGCAGATGATATGAGAAGCGTATGAAATTATTATTTACATTTTCAGGAAAATAAAGAAAAGTGCACTTGAATGTTGCAATATAAATAGATGCGCTCCGAGTATTCATTTTCAGAGGACACTTTTCCATGTTTCCATAAAGGATAGGTGGTGTCTCCTATTCATATCCCTAAAAAGATTCAGCACCATGTCAGCTGTTCAAGGAATCTATTTTCAAAATTATTCATTCAATTATTATTGAAGCTAGATAAGCTAGATAATGTACTATAATTAACATAATCTTCAGAATGGAATTAATTTCTTATAAACAAATGATTTCATAATTTTTCAATAGCTTTTTTGGCCGATTTTCAGAATTTGATGCAATGCGATCCATTAATTTTAAATTTCCAGCAGAAATTATTTTAACAATACTTGGGGTACTTTCTATAACATTTTTATTCGTCAACTGGTTACTAATTATTTATGTAAAATATGATATTGACAGCCTTTATGAATTCGTATTCAAGAAAATGGAACATTTTAAGGTATTTCCGTTTAGTTAAAATTTGTTAGGGAACAGAGATTGCATTTGCTTTGTTCCAAAAATGGACAATAAGCATGTTTATGTTAACCATTAAGCAATAACAAATTTGATTTGATTGAATTTGCTTTTTTTATCATTTCTTTCATGACTCTTCCCCTAAGCATTCATTTTTGATGCTAGTTCTGATATACCATAAATAATAGCAATATGATCAAGAATTGGACATTTCTTTCAGATAAATATTTGCTTTGCAGAAAGATGTGAATAGTACTTGGGATGATATGATGAATTTGAAAAGCAAAACGCATTTCAACAGAATACGAAGATCAGATTATCTTAAAACTGGACGATGTAGTAAGTTTCCCCATAGATGATTAGCATGAGGTCATATTCCAGCAATTTAATCATCTGAAAATGATTTACGTTATATTACAATTTATCCATCTGAGTGATTTAAATTTGATTTATTTATTATCATCAGATTACGGATGAAAAATAATAGACAGTTGGATTCTATATATTTAGTTTTTAGAAAAAAAAATACTTAAAAGGAAAAGTGAAATGTGAAAACTTTTCATCAATGACACGAAATGATCATATTTTGTAGACTTCATTCCTGAAGATAGAAGTAAGACATAAGATAAGAGTTATTTTAAAAGTCTGTTGATATTCATTTCGTTACTTCTTAGCTTAATAAGTAAAAGAATATTGTTGTGTGTAAATTGATAATGTGGAATGAATTTTTGCTAATTAAACAATATTCTTATAGATTGCGTTGGGGAAGCTATCCAATGTCCAGAAGGACCGAGAGGACCACCTGGCCAGTCGGGTGCTGACGGAGGTAGAATTTTGTGAAATACATAGCAGTGAATGATTCATTGTCAATCTGGATGAAAATAAATTTCGAAAGTAGATTCTTTTCGTCCTTTATCGATTTATAATATCTCAATTTAGCTGAATATTAAATTCCAACATTAAGTGCATATTATTTTAGAAGACGGTGAAAAGGGTATAGATGGTAAACCGGGAATACCGGGACTTTTCCTCGACGACATCAATGATGAAGAAGATTGCGTATTATGTCCTCCAGGACCACCCGGATTATCAGGAAGCGCTGGCATGCCAGGCTCACTTGGTTCTCCTGGATTGCCAGGAGCTCCTGGAAAAAGTGGACGAACTGGTTCTCCTGGTTTGCCTGGTGCAGTAGGAGAACGCGGAGCTCCCGGTAAGCTTTAGAATGTCTTCTCAACTTTTAATAAAATTCATGTTTACATAGAAATCTGCAAAAATTTACAGGAGCTATCGGAAAAGCCGGTCTGCCAGGTCAACCAGGAAAAAATTGTATTGCACCAAATTACTTGACACCAGAATTACCAGCCGGGAACCCGAAAACAGAAAAATTAAGAAAATCAAAAAATGTTCTCTCAAACCTCCTTATGAAACAAGAACAAATTAATAAAGGTGAAAATGACAAGAAAAGAAAGAAGGAAGCACAACAGCTTATCACTGAAAAACAACTGAAACGTCTATCAGAATGGATTGAACGGTGGAGGATAATATCAGATCAGTCCACTGATCGTTCCATGCCTAAGAAAATGTAATTTTTCGTTTTATTGCTGCAATCGGCATTGACCACTTCTTTTTTCTATTGTGATACGGTAAAAAAACCACATCTCCTACCGTATCATCACCATTTTATTGGTAGACATATTGTCGTAGATTTTACATTGACATTATTATTATTATTATTATTATTATTATTATTATTATTATTTGTTTTTGTATAACACATACCACACTTAACAATGAATAATTATTCCTCTGCATTCCAAATAATGTAAAAAAGCTTATAATAAAGAGAGGAAAAATAAGGCTTGAAAAAAACACATTGTAAAGCCAGTCTCTGACACAGCCACAGTTGGATAGCATCATGATAATTGTTATCGATTGAAGATACTTCAGCATCTAAGTAAGCTACAACTTATGATCTCATCCTTGTTAATGATTGTCAAAGATTCAATTATTTTGATTGCTAATTTTTGCACCTTTTACAGAGAAGTGCAAAAACTTGCATCATTTTAATGTTTACAGGAAGGAAATTGAATTAAGCTAAAAATTCGAGATAAATTTTACAAAAAAAGGGAAGAGTAAACATACTAATTTTAATTCGTTAGTTGGCTGCCAATTTGAATGAATGAAATATCTGTCTTGATTAATTGGATATCTTTCAAAGAATATTTTAAAGCTAAGGTAGTTAAAACCATTTCAGCTTGATTTGATGAAAAGATATACAAAGTAAAGAAAAAGGAACTTCCTGAACAAAGGGATATTATATGGAAACCTCAAACATCTAAATATTTACTCTGAGTTCGAAAGGCGGAGTATGGTTGTTATTACGAGTTTGTTCATCGATCAATAAACATTGTAAGGAATTTAGAAATAACAGTCAAATAGAACAAGTTTCGGGGGCGGAAGCGAAATTTCATATGTAATTGAAGCGAATGATCTGCTGAAAACTGGAAAGAGAAAGAAATGTCCTTTTCTTTTCATCTTGTTGATTTTTGTTTAACGATTTCTCTTTTGAAACATAAGACAGAGACAGTTAATGTTATCATTGATGTTTTAATTGAGAAAGTGATAAACTTCAAACATCAATATTTTGTGTTTTAAAGTGGCGTAACCCTGGCAATAATGGGTAGAGAGCGGGGCTGTTCGTTGAGTACTCCAAAATGAGAAACCTTTGAATGTGAAATGAATGATGGAAAGTAGCATATGTTTTAATACATCCATCACATATGAATTTGATTGCAGGTTAAGCAGCAAACATGTTTACATGCAATTTGCAATATACAGCTGAATTTTATCAATTTAAAATATTTATATTGAAATACTTTAATATTAACGCTTGGCGCCTTTATGTTTACTTTTCCTCGATTTCGGTCTTATCATACTTTTTTTCTTCTTCTCACCTCCTTCCGGTTGCGATTCATCCTGTTGCTGCTAAAAAATTGGACACATTTTGATAGGGAGTCCTTTAATCGGTGGCCATTGTTATGTCGGATTGTCGTCGTCATTTCCATCATCATACATTTATTATTCATATTAATGTGACCAACAAATTATTATCTCTTCTTCTGCTGTTATCACTAGTATCATTCAGCTTATGATCTTACCACTGACCATAAAACCAAGCAATCCAAAATATCTTGTGAATCCCATGTGATATATCTTATTGCCATAAAATACATCACATGGGATTCACAAGATATTTCGGATTGCTTGGTTTCTGATTCAGCCGAGAGAATTGAAAGTTTTTTTATTAAAAAATGAGAAAGTAGCAAATATACAAAAAGGAAGCAGAAAATTGGCTTAGTATGATTGGTATCAATCAGCAATTTCACTGAATAGATAGTAATCCTATAAGTTTTGAGGGAATATTTCCTTCCAATTTTATTACTTCACTTAATCGAAAGCACAGTTGGTATTTCCTCATCTAAACGGCGAATCAACAATTCTTTCTTTCAGCAGTCATTTCTGAGAATTGAAAGCAGATTTCACGTTTGACCTTCAAAATCATAATTCATTTTAAACTAACCACCGTGAAGTTAGGACGAGGTGTGCCGGTGATTCGTTGAAGATTTTTAGAAATTTCCGCCATTGACCATCGATCATTCGGATTATCTGCCCAACATTTCACTTCTATAACGCGGCGCATTTGTGCCGGCACACATTCAGGCAGCGGCATTCGATAACCTTCTTTAACCTAAAATCTTTTTCAGTTATCTACAACTGCTTTAGATTATCATAATTTTAAGCAAGTTGCATCACTCACTTCCTCCATTCATTCTATGATCTCTGTTACAAATGTTCAACATTGGTCCGATCCAAATCTACCATTATTCATTATCAATAATTCTCTTACTCTCCTAATCATAATCATCACTAGATGAATTCAACTATAGAAGCCTACCCGAACATTAACCTCGGCAACAGTAAAACCAGGATAAGGTTCCTGACCATTTGCGAAAATCTCCCAACACATAATGCCATAGCTGTATACATCCGTTTTCTGTGTGTACATAGCTGTGCGAAGCGTTTCCGGTGCAAGCCATCTGATGGGGACCCGTTTTCTTGGATCCATTTGATATACCGTGCCCTCACGTGTTAATCCAAAATCACTTATTTTTATCTAAAATTTGCTAACTGCGACATATCACTTTTTGGAAATTTCTCCAGGTATGTAAAAATCAAAAAATCTGAAAGAAAATCATTACATTCCAACTTCTCTCATGAAATTTTCCCTCTTACAGTAGTCTTCATTTTGATGAAATTTTCAGCCAGATAGCAGTGTTTTCAAGATTTAATTGCTGTTTAAATTGATCAAGTACCCTATTATCACCAAAGAGGCAATTTCGTGCAGCGATATCACGATGCAAAACTGGCTTAGCATGAAGATATTCAAGTCCCCAAGATGCGCCCAAACACATATCCATTTTTTGTTCCACCGAGACCTGATTTTTTTGCAAATAAGAATCCAGTGCTCCTTTATTTGCCTAAAATAATGAAATTGAATCACATATTTGCAATTTAATGAGCCATAATAAAAATATGAAATTAGAAAAGTAGTTAATTGGAAAATGAAGATCTTCAAGATCCAATATCTTTAAGAATTCAGATTCACTGAAAAGAGATACGTTTAGCTCTTTTTCAAAATCCACAGAAATATATCCATCCAATTCTTAAGCTTACCAGTTCCATAACGATCATTAGAGGTTCTTGGCCAGCAGCTACTCCGTAACATTTGCATACATTGGGATGATCGAATGTTCTGTGCAGCCGGGCTTCTTTCATAATTTCTTTGATCTGTTCTTTGGTAAGCGTTTCTAACTTGGCCTAAGAAACAATGCTGATAAAGATATTACAAGGTAAATAATACAATGAGACTACTATCCGTAATGATTCCTCCGCATCATTTATTAAATAGATATATTATCGAAATGATTCCAAAATGTCAAAAGTACCAATTTAATAGCGACATCAACTTTGCGACCATTTCGAAGTCGTAGACGTCCAAGGTGCACTTCACCGAAAGCTCCTTCACCTAATTTCTTGGTCGGTTCTACATCCTCGTGGTGTAGTTCCCAACTCTGACGTGGGATTGGCGTAGTAAGGAATACTTCGGCATTCTTCACCAAACTTTCATGTTTATTCAGATGAAAATTTATCATTTCAGGCACACTGTCAAAGCCATACTTCTCGATTGTGTATTTGCCGTTTGGAGTGCGTTGTATCACATAATGTTTAATCTAAATTTCAAGTTTTTGCTGCCTTAACATATCAAACCTTCTAAACGAAAATTTGTTACTCATTGAAAAGAAGGCGTACAGAATTGACTGCCTTCCATCGAGAGGGAATATTGATCAAACACAAGAACAAAGCAATACGATCATCATCTATCTCTACTTTATCATTGTTACTTCAAATCATCTAGAGTGCTCAAACATATTGAATACGTAAAATAAAACTTCTTAACAACCGTGAAAATGTGTAACAATGGGCTTTAATGATATCTTGAGAGCAGGATTGAAAAAATGCAATATGATTTAAATTATTTTAGCAATCCAAACAAACCATGAGACCCCTCCCCATCTTTTAAAAAGCTTTTGTGCAGTACTTTTCTTTAGTTCTCCAATCCTTTGCTAAAAAACGGTTGAATTGATAAAGTGGTATGATAGAAGCTGATAATTGATAAAAAAGGACCAGAGCTATACCCCAAGCTCCTCTTTTTCTTCTGATGCCATAACGGATATAACAAAAGCGCGTGGCTGTCCGGCAACAGGTTCCGTTGTTCGAACGATGAATTCTCCATTGTTACGTAGCATCATTTTGATGTCTTCACGTGGTAACAACCCATGATAATATTGCTCGTCTGCTAACGTTTTATCAACCATGATATCCTCCCTTAATTGAAGTCTTATTGTTACTCTTTACGTTTTGATTTTTTCATATCAAATGTCTCTTTCATTGGTAAGTAGCTAATATCACGAAGACATGGCTGCACTCATCTAACAACTCAACAGCACATGTGGATAACATCAAAAATTAAATTCTATAAATTACGAAACAACTAATTTACCACCACCAACCCAATTTCAACTTCTATAAAGATGAAGAATGAAGTTTTTGCCTCAAATGATTTATTTATATGAAGTTAATTATCTGTTAATGACAAAGTATTCATATTTCACATAGAATATTTTTTCAGTTTTCTTCATGGCAACTTGAAGTCTGCATAAATTAATAATGCATGCTTTTACTGCATGTTATTTCTTGCTCTTTTAATATATGTTATTACGTCGTCGAATTAATACTCATTGTCTTCCATCATCATTATCGTCATTTATAAAATCAAATTGGTACAGAAGGCAATAATAACTGAGAACAAGTGCTTCAGGCTTCCCATAAATATTCATCGATAAACGTCAAAATTTTCTGCAGCATTAAATACTTTGACAGAAGCTATCCGTGTCCCAGCAAAAGCAATTTTATTATATTATAGAAATTTTCTCCCAAAATATTTGATTTGAAATATTTCAAGCATTTCATATACAAATGGAAATTGTACTACGCGGCAAAAAATTACTGAATTATTTCGTTAATCGAACTCTTAGAAGTAATGCCATCAAGCCAACAACCCGAAAGATGATTAACATTACAATTAGGATGAATAGATTGATAAGAATAACAATCTGTGAAGTATCCATTCCTCGACGTTCCAGTAAACCCTTTCCCGAAAATGCTGGACAATAACTGGCTATTTTGGTTGCATCTTCTTCACATCCTGAAAAGCAAACGTTTTTGTTGTTAATGGCAAGATTTGGACTTGTTGCTTTATAGTAACTTTGTAAATATCGCTTTTATATATTAAAAAAAAACAGCGAATTAGCATTGTAATCGATAGTTTAGAATATAAACTTTTCTAATTATCAACTCATTTGGAAAACTTAGAGAATATAAGAAAAAGTATGGTTATCTTTAGATTAAGACGAGGAAAAGCATTGTGTTCAGAGAAAGAAGATGAGGAAAAATATCACTGCTTTCAAACATTAGCAATCTTTATTTAGGAAGACGAATGAGTACAAATAATTCTGCTTTTAGTACAAGTTTGGTCAGTGTTTTAAATTAACCTGCGAGGGAAAGAAATTACTAGTTTCATGATGCAATGAAATTTGTATGTAGCGATATTCCCGCAGATCGCATAATTGTGAAGATATAAGGAGGAATGGGTTTGCTGATATACACTTCGAAATCTGCGACAAAGAGTGACGAAGTAACAGTTTACCAGGTATCGTTTTATAATTGAGCCATTGATTTACTTGAAGTGCTTCAAAAGCAAATCGAAACCATGATATGTATGATATGAACTGATAATAAATAGGAATGGAGTGGAAACTAATATAAAAGCCGCCGAATACCAAATTTGGCAAGATAAAGCAAGGCATATAAGTAAGAGCTAGGTTGTCTTTTCCAAAAATACAGGCACCGGCGTATGCTGAAAATTTGACATGCGATAGAATTGCTTTAAAATAGGGGCATTCTCAGTTCTGGCTAGTTATAGCGGTGGGTATCAATTTGAAGTTTAGAACTCCAAAACTTAAAACATTTAGGAATGATTTGATTACTTGGTTTCCGACAAGAAACGTGCTTTGTATAGGCATGTCCTATGTGAAAACAATAAATAGTATTGACGACATATCTAATTTTGAAATGTTATGAATATTCTCTAAAACATTTAAAATCTTGTTTCCGATTTTAAAACGCTACTGTTTAAAGATATTCAAATTCTTTTGTGAGCCCAACATTCAAAAACCGTAAGCCTCAATCTTTGAACTTCAAAATAAAAAGCGTTGATAGGAAACTCAAAAAACCAACTTACCTATTGAAACTGCTAAATTTGTTATTACAACAGTTATTATGCAATAGATGACAAACGCCTTTACTGCCAAATAAAGTCCTATAATTGAAATAAATTTGAAATGAAGTTCAACGGGTCATTGTGAATCTAAAATAACATTCAGTTACTTTCAGTGATATTGGATACTTATGAGACAACCTGTTTAAATCAAGTTCACCTCCTTCATTATGCATAATATTGGACAAAGGAACTTTTTTAACTCATACGGAAACTTCTTACTTACCGCTCATGAAATAAACAATAATTGCATAGCAAAGTGGAAGTATGGTATATTCTGGAAGCTGAAATTATTAAAACTTATAAAATTTATTTCCTCAAATTTCAATTAATCTACTATTTTAAGCCAATATTTCTTTTTAAAATCACTGGAATTCCAGAAAATACAACTTCAGCAACTGATTTTGCCAGATAATAAGCCTCAGCGCTATAAATTCTTGAACAGCAATGTTCACGTAAAAATATTGGTAATTCTGACGTTATCACCTGCAATATAAATTGGAGTTATTGTTTTTGGAGTTGTCACAAAAAAAAATTGGCATATTATTCTCGAAATTTTTGAAAAGATAACAAATGAATTGGATGAACATAGGTGAATACGACAAGACACTGCTTTATGAAACAATAAAAGCAATATAAATATTAAACAAATGTTGAGAGAATAAATTTGGCAGAGATAAAAACTAACGCTGATAGATGGAAAGAGGAAAATGAAGTTCATGTCACGTACAGTATTGTACAGTATACCTTCCAAATTCATTACAGTTAGACCGGTTATCTGTGTTTGAAAATTAACCATGCCTATGACCAACGCAGTAACCTCAAATTTTTCAAGATTTAAAAGAATATTCCACCAAATTTCAAATTCATTTGAAAGAAATGGACGATCGATGCAAATATTATTCCAATCTGTCTCTTTCCCTCCACATACGATAAACAGTTTCTCTCCTTCAGGACATTCCAAGTTTGCGCTTCAAATTGAATTATTAGCGCTTATTTTTTTTTGTTTCAGAAAAGACGTTTTTTCTTCAATTATTGAAATAATAAAACTTACGATGACTTGAATAAATTTTACTTTCAGTAGTAAAGGATCTCTCATTGTTGTCAGGAAAGATCGCCGCACAAGAATTAGAAATTGAGATAAAAATGAGACTGCGTACCTTAAAATTTTCACTCACTCTGAAGAACTCAATGTTTTAATAAATGTTTATATATACACATTTAAATGAGAATAAATAAAGGATCAAATATTCGGAAATTGCTTTAGAAATAATTTTCGACATAATGCACTCAAATTTATGCACAAACTCTTTGCTTAGAAATGAGTAATCCAAAAACCTTTTCAGGAGACATTGATTGCCGCTTTCCTTCTAACTTTATGGAACAGGATATCTTCACTAATAAACTCACATTTTTCTCTTTTTTAAATCTTTGTTTCCTTCCTGCGATAATCCTTGGCCATGTGATTTTTTGTACAGCATCATGCCAAAAATCGATTTCTCGAATTCGGTTCGAATTTTCTAAAATTTGTTACGAAAATATTTTATGCACACTGATTTGAATATATTTTGAAAACTTTCGATTGTAAAAAATCATGTATTTGGATCAAGTTTAATTTATAAAGCTTCGAAATAAAGAGTTGAGGTTCAAATATGATTTGTAATGAATATGTGAGCTCTTTGAATCTTTGAATCATGATATCAAAAAGCTTCTCCTATGAAACTTAAATAATGCTCTTGATTTTGCAAAAGAAATAGGCCTGGAAAAATTATTGACGAAGAGCTCTATTCAAATGAAAGGAAAATTAAGTAAAGCAATTAAAGCATTGTTTTCAATTTTCAAGGCCTCATCAGTGCTACAATTTTTAAAGTTTCTGAGTTTCAACTTGAAACAACGTGAGACTTAAACAAATTTATTCATGCGGAATTATGACACTTACATCCACCCTCGTTTGGCATTCCCGATCATCTTGAATGGTGGATAGAGTTTTAATGACATGATCTGCTGGATTATACGTTTCGGGACACGGGAAGCCAATGCTAAACTCGAGAATGGTTTTTCATATCATCTAACATGTTACTGTTAAAAAATCAGAAAAATCAGGACAAAGGCCTATCTCAAAGTATCAAGAGTTTTTATTGATAGAGGAGGAATGAATATGGATACTGCTTTTTGATGAAATTATTGGGAATGGGAAGAATTGAACTTAGCTTAGAATGATGGAGTGATGAAATAATTGATGATAGAACGAACTTTCTGAAGAACTTGCAAACTTCCGTGATCGGACCGAAATACACAACTTTGCCCATTGACATGAAACATACACTGAAACATCGAAAGCCATAATCCTAAGTCAATACAATTTGTAACTTTTAAAAAGAAGACAATAAGTTAAATAGCCTCCCAAAATTTAGTCAAAGACTTTACATGTTATCACTATCAATAGGGACTGCTGTTTAAGTTTATAATTTGAGTAAATTTCATGAATAAATTCTAGAATTTAAGGAGGCTCTTTGTTAGAAAATAAACTGAAGACATTATAACTCTCGCCACCAACTTGTCAAACATATTGAATACTTGGCTGGATGGTTGATGAATCGTTGTAATTATTGTTTTTCCTTTTTTGGCCATATCTTTCAGACAGTGCACAACTTGTACGGCCATAAAAGAGTCTAGGCCAGATGTTGGCTCGTCACAAAATAAAATAAGTGGATCGGTAAGAATCTAAAAACAGCTTTTGGCCTAGTCAGTACCAAGCTGATCCTTCGATAGCTGCGCAAAGAAACTTTTAGCGCAACTTCAGCCTAATGATTAAATTTAAACAACACATCATATATACGTATAAAATAAAAGTACGTGCATCTGAATAGGAATAGGTCGTTGCTTGGTGCTCACTACAATTTTTTGTGACAATTGAAATTTATCATCACTAATAACTGGAGATTCTGTATAGGTCTCATTTTAGGGAACACGAAAATCTTACAATTGCTATAAGTTACTTAATTGTTAATTGTTTACTTCTATTTATTGCCATGCATGCTTCCAAGTGCAAGTTAATTTAAGTTAAAAGCTAGCGAACCAAGTGCTGAGATTAACTAAGTGACGGTACTTACTTCACAAGCAAATGCAAGGCGTTTACTTTCACCACAAGAGATGCCTTTAAGTCGATTTGTAACACCAATCAATGTTGTTTCGCACTTTTTCAGGCCAAGCTGAAGAAAAAGTTGCTTCGAAAGCCTCAAGATAAACGGGGGGGGGGGGGGGGGGAAAAA